GGGGGGGGGGGGGGTTGAAAACTTAAATCCTCCAAAAGAGTAAACTGCCCAGCTTCATCTAGCCGCATAAATATGTGAGTTCTATATCTTCTTTGCATGCTATGGAAAGTCTAAAAAATGATACCATGTGGCACAATACCAATTTAATGTCTTGTGAAGGCTCAAGTAGAAACCGAACAAATAGGTTAAAATGACTGAACACACGATCGAGAGTACAGCTTCGAGGTCTACATACCATTGGATTGATGCGAGTCAAGATAATATTCTTCTCTTGAAGCCTTATGAGTGGGCGAACAACAGGCTGATGGTTATCAGACAAGGCAGGAACAACTTCAGTTTGCACCTTAATCACTTTCCCGCTGTCAACTACTTGATCACTCTCAACATATTGCCTCAGTACACTTTTGTCATCTTGATAACGCTTCACCTCAGCCATCATAACAGCAACGCGTTGTGGGTCCACCTCATTGTTTATTCTCCGTTGTAATCCTTCGATCCTATCCTCGAATGAGCGCATGGTATTTGCGACTATGAGAGTTTCATCGAGATCAAAGACAATACCCAAACATCTGAGGTTTAGCATGATAAGACAGGAGTTGTAGAGTCCGGGTGGAACACTGAATGCCCAGAAACATGGGTATTCCTTTTCACTGTTCCTAGAACACATAGCAACCAAATGGAGCTCTTCCTCGCCCAGTAGCATCACTGCAGTCTGAATGAATAAAAAATAACAAACATGAGGATCGTTTATAATCGCAAGAGCCAAGCAAACACTAATTCCGAACCTTGATTAGCTGTCAACAAGCTAAATCAGTCAGTTAATCTAGGAACCTAAACCATTCTAAGAATAGCATATATGGACCACAAACCACACAAAGTTTCCATCTTTTTTACACTTATCTGTGGACATGTTCAAAAGCTTCAGCCCCATGATATTCACAACGTATATGAAGTTAATACAATTATACAAGTATCCAAGTTCCACTAAAGGTTCAGAGTCCGTAAAAACTGGCTTAAAATTCTAAAAATCAACATCAGTAATTCATCAGATTGACAGATTCTGGCGCCAACCCATAATCAGAAGTGAGACAAATGTTACTGGTTTCTGACCAAATCTGAAGTTTTAATCACGGTACAGCAATATTGATTATTAGGGTTCGTCCCATAAGGCATGTTATACCTTGTTGTCCCTGAGACAGGATGAATGGAAGAGACGGACCGGATCATGAGCAGAAGAAGATGATTTGGACTTGAATGTGGCTTCCAATTTGAAACAAAGGCCAGAAGTAGAAACAGCGTGAAGAACAGCAAGAGGAGGACACCTCTCACTAGGTTGAGAGAAATGGCTAATTCTGATTCCCTTCTTCAAATCCTCCATTATTTCTCTCTTCTTCATCTTCTTCGTCTCGTCTTCCTGCCCCGATTCCCGAGGTGGATTTATCTCCATTTCTCCAATCCTTCTTTCACAGTGGTACACTTCAACGGTATTACTATACATGTTTTCTCTTTCTCTTCTTCTTCCTCTTCTTCTGGAATTGTCCGTATCAGAAGTTATAGAACCAATTGATTTCTCATCTCAAATTCATTCATCGACATCTCACTGTTCTTTGTCCCTTGCTGTAAGAACGTCAGGTTGCCCGCTAGTTTTGAATTCGATCCATATCTTTTTTCCGCAGTTTACAAAAAAAAAAGGTGCAGAACCAAGAAACAAAAATCTTGACGAAAAACAGTATTGGGTTGGTGAGAGAGAGGGGCTGGGAATTAGGGGTTTCCTTTAGAATTCGTTCCCTTGAAACACCTTTCTCGATCTGCAGGTAGCGTGGATAAAATCAAAAACCCTAAATTCTTCATCGTCTTCTTCGATGGTATCTGTTGTCGATGGACAAATCCATGAATGAAATGGTTTTCGTTCTAATCGAAACCCTAGATCCAGCAGATAACGGAGAGTCAAATCTGAAACACGCACCACCCCGTCGTCGATATTTAAAGGAGGCATGAAGGTCATATCCGTCTTTTTCTATTTGTTGCGAATTTAAAATTTAAAATTTAAAATTTAAAACAAATAAATACTCCGTAAAAGTAAAAACTGCTGGAAATAGTTAATATTTTTACCACAATTTTTTTTTTTTTTTAATCCAAGTCGATAATTATCTTACGATGCACGGTCTGCCATTATCGTCTTCAAGATAAATTGAGCAAATGCGAAAATTAGTGGTAAAGAGATGTAATAAGTGTTCTTTTTTTTTTAATATCTAAGGTTGTATTTCATTATTTGATGCATTGTATATTTATCAAAATTTATCTTTCATCTCCTCTCTTCTCTTTTTTATTATTGATTGATATTTTGGATTTCAGATCCGATTATTTTTTTAAACTGTATTAAAAAAAATTATATTAATTTGATTTGTGTATAGTTCATTTTAGATTGTGATTGGATTTGGTTAAAATTTGACTTCCCTTAAACAATATTTAATCTTTTAAAAGGATTTTTATTTTCCCTCCATTCTCTATTTGTTAAGGATTCAATTAATTTGGTTTGAAAAAAAATCGTATCAAATTGATTTTTTTTTTTAAAAAAAATGTATAACTAAGCGGACATTATATCTCAAAAATACCATTACATTACTATTCCTACTTCAATACATACCCAGTTGTGACCATGCGATCCATATGACCCAAAATATAGTGTGATCACATTTTGATTTTATTGATTATAACGTTAAATTTATGTTGATATCACTAATTCATTATGTTCATATATTATATATCTTACTAATTATTTGATTAAAACATCATAAATTTAACGTTATGAATAACGAGATCAATATGTGACCACACTATATTTTAGATCAAATTATCACAATTGAAAAAAACATATGTTGAAGTAAGAATAACAAGTATTTAAATCAATAGACACAAAGAACCTCGCCAATGGCCAATGCGCATCTATGTGGAATCATTGACCCTTTTCTCTAAAGCACTTTGTATTATTTTTCGTCGTTTTCTATTCCCCATCATTGTGCCCTAGAGGTATATATATATATATATATATATGACTTTCTAAAACAATGGAAAAAGGAAAATAGTATAAAGAAATATATGAGATTAAAAGATTCGTTTATTTATTTACACGCGAGAGAAGATAAGACGAGGTGAGGACAAGAAATTCTCCAACACAAAATCCTTGTATATAAATAATAAGAAGACAAACAACTCATTATCATTATTCTTTTAAATATAATAAATTAAAATTTTCAATCTAATTAATATAAACAAATCATGATTACAAATAATATAGTTATTATGCTATTATTTTAGAGAAATAAAAAAAATATTGAAATGATTTCTCAGATTATTTACAAAATTACAATTAAACATAAAAGAAAGCAAATCTTACCATATACTACAATATGTAAATACATGTATATTAGAGAAATTTATGCAACCAAGAAACTACACATAAATAATTCAATAATACTGATTAATTAAAAATTGTTACGAAAACTTGCAATCATGTATGGCCCCAATAATACTCAAATTCATGATAACCAAACCATAAAGAAAACACAGAGGAATTATCGAAACAACTGTGTCCACACGAAGCCGGAAATGCTTGAAATGAAACCAGTATTATTGATGGTGGGGTTGTAAAAATTAATTTTTTTTTTATGAAAAAGTAAATTATATTAAAAGAAATAGAGTTTTTTTACAAATGACGAATAATCTTTCACTTTATACAAATATTATATATATATATATATATTCTCCTTCGTCTTCGGCAATAATTCAAAGCACTACTAATGGAGGACTCTTGTCAGAGTTCTAAACACTGTGTTCTTCTGGCAATTTGTTTCTTTTTACTCCTCGATAACTCGAGCTTTGTTGCAGACGCCCATGGCGATACCAAGGTGTGTGTATACTTTCTTGTATTTCCGTTTTGTACACTTCCTTTTGTTCTAAACCCGATTCTTGTTTTTTTTTTTTTTTTTATAAATCTGACAGGTTTATATCATTTATATGGGTGAAAGACGCCGTGATGATCCCGAATTCGTTACCACCTCACATCATCAGATGCTCGAATCCTTTCTTGGAAGGTACTTCGATCCCTCTTTTTTTTTTCCACGACCCATTCCTGTTCTTGCGCAAAATGGTATGAAACAAGAGAGATTGCAGAGTTTTATCCAGCAGATTAATGGAATTCCGACCGTATCTCTGTCCTGCTTCTGTATCTCCAGTTCCCTGTTTCTGTTTTCCGACCGATGCTAATGTAGCGAACGTCCGAGGTTTCATGGTTTTTTGCATATGATCAAAGCGGAGCTCTCACTTTAACTGCTTCTGTTTCAGCAAAGAAGAAGCACTTAAATCCATTGTCTACAGTTTCCGCCATGGCTTCTCTGGCTTTGCAGCTGAGCTTACTCCCTCCCAAGCAATGGAGATTTCAGGTTCGAAGGAAAAGCTTGTGAATCCTCATAACCTTTTCGACATGGATGAACGTGGTTTTTTCATGTGACACAGAGCACGAAGAGGTTGTCCATGTCATACCGAGTCGGATCCATAAGATAAAAACGACCAGAACCTGGGATTTGTTAGGTCTTTCTCCATCTCCAACTTCTCCTAAAGCTCTCTTACATGACACAAATTTCGGAAGTGAAGCCATCATCGGTGTCATCGACACAGGTCTGTGTCTGTCCATATATATATCTCTGTTTCCTTCTCCGATCTTCGAGCAGACTGTATACATATATGCAGGGGTGTGGCCAGAATCTCCGGTTTATAACGATAAAGGGCTTGGACCGATCCCGAAACGGTGGAGAGGACACTGTGTATCTGGAGAAAGCTTCAATGGCGGAGTTCACTGCAACAAGAAACTCATAGGAGCCAAGTACTACATCGATGCCCTAATCAGACAGATCGGTGGACATTACAACAGAACTGAGGTTCCAGATTTCCTGTCCCCTCGAGACACTAACGGCCATGGCACGCATGTTTCCGCCATAGCCGGAGGCTCGTTCGTGCCTAAAGTTAGCTACTTTGGCCTTGCCCGAGGAACCCTCAGAGGCGGAGCTCCTCGGGCTAGGATCGCAATGTATAAAGCCTGTTGGAATGTGATGGGAGATTCCGGAGATGCGGTCGGGAAATGCACGACCGCGGATATATGGAAAGCTTTCGATGATGCTATACATGACGGAGTTGATGTCCTGTCTGTTTCCCTCGGCGGTTCAGTTCCTCTGGACGGGGAAGTGGATCAACTTGACAACGTTGCGGCTTTCCACGCGGTGAAAAAGGGCATTCC